ACCCTCCGGACATCCCTTCAAGTCCATGTCCACTTTTTGCGAACGAATTGAAATCTCGGAGTTCATAGTGCTCTACAAATTGATGTATACGCTGCAACGTGATGATCATTGGACTGAAACTTTCTTCTAAATGACGAAAAGTGCGTCCATATGTCATTTGGAGGGGGCTCAGTGAATGCCTTTGTCATGTGTTGTGGGAATGGACCAGAAGACATCACAAGAATAGATGTCAAAAAGGATTTGGGTAGCTGGCTCTCTTCAAACTTGTCCTTCTCACTGCACCATGTGAAATCGCTACAAAAGGCATCAGCCGTTCCACGGATGACCCAGCGTACCTTCCCCCGAATTTTTCGCATGGGCTTCGAAACACTATATGGGGCCTATGTCAGACCGCTCTTTGAATACGCCAACCAAGTTGTCTACTCAGGACACAAGAAGGACGAGACCCCCATTGAATGTGTCCAGCAAGCCGCTACGAAAATGGCTGCCGGCTTGAAATCCGTGAACTATGAGATGCGTCTCATAGTGGTTAATCTTTCTACGTTTGAGTATCGCAGCCTCCAATGAGACGTTATTCTTACTTATGCCCTTTTCGAACAGGTTTTGGCCGACAGTCTGTTCAATTTTGACTCACCAAGCACCTGACGAGACATTGTAAGATTTCCGAGCTCAGAGCGGATACCTTACACAGGCTAAATTCCTTCCCATTTGGTTTAGTTATTGCATGTCATAACCTTCCCCTGATGGTCATCCACGCTGTTTCTGAAACCCAGTTCAAAGCACTATTACACACTTATTTATGCGAGACCTCGCGCTGGCAAGCATACTACCCACACCGAGAACTTAGAGAGCAGTGCTACACCTTTTTTCACTTGTGCCTTCCAGGTGCACGACAATAACCAAATCAACCCGGGAAATTTGGGCGAGGGCATCGATCCAGTATATCGATTCGCGAATCCGAGAAACGTTTGACAAACAGCTTTTCCGCTGTTGACCAGCTAACACACGGCGGGAACATGGTAGGAGGGTTTTCAAGCTCATAGCGTACACTTACATTAGGCAAACTATTTCTCACTTCGGGTAGTATCTGCGTTGAATAACCTTCCTTCGTTGGTTGTCCAGGCTGCTTCTAGTGGCCGGTTCAAATCGCTTTTATGAGTTTGTTTTATGTGAGTTCTCGCACTTAAAGGCTGACTGCCCTGTGCTGAGAACTTGTGAAACAGCGCAACACTCTTTTTTGCCTATGCCTTCCAGGCGAACAGCGGTCGCTGAACGGAAAGAACAGAATCGACCCGGGAGTCTTGGGTGACAGCCTATATTTTCTGGAGCAATCCGTGGGAAGACGATGCCATCGGATTTGCAGGGTCCCATAATCTTGTATCTTTTTAACCGTCAACCTTTCTAGAATTTATTACAAAGCCTTTCAGGGCTCACAGAGACCCCCTGATATTCCTAAACCTTCCAGCGTACCCTACTCTGAGCTGACTATTATTCAGGTTGACATAGTAACCGCGGTAATTTAAGCGATGGCCGTACCGTTTTCAAATACAAAGCTACGCGTGCCTTTAGGGTTTCCAAGTCTTCTAGAAGGGTTGTCAAGGGAAGTATTGCGCCATCAACCGAAAGATATTTTCGGTTTCGCAGAAAAGTATTTTGAGGGACTTTTGAGAAAGCGGGAAGGTGGCAGGTTCTTCTCATATTTGCTTATTTAACTTTCAATTTATAGAAACTGGGACGGAAGACATTGCTCAGCTGACATCTCGACTTTATGATAGGTACTACAACAATCAGGCATATTGTGTAAGTTGACATGTATACACGAACTTGCAAGCGAAATCCACAGTGCCAAGATGGCTGACTATGTTACGTAGCAGAGTTATGTATACATTTATGCATATCCAAATCCTTTTACCTTATATTTTTACTTTGGCAGCACCGACTACGTACTATTGTGTCTAAGAATAAAGCGATATATTGCTTTTTACATCAGCAAGGGTATGGTTTTATGATATCTGTTTGTCGCATATCTCTTAGCTGATTTCCTGTGATTCCTACAACCCTGGTGGTTGCCGGCCGTCACGTGGTCAACAGTTTTATACCAGACAATCACAAGCATTCTGTAACGGTTGAATCATTTCCTGTTTAGCATTCTGTCGTCGATTTTAATGTTGAGCTCATCGGGGGTGTGACAGAGAACTCAGAATTGGGATGGTGCAATATTCTGTCGTCAGTTTCCGGCACGCCTGCGCTGGGCTAAGATGTTTACGTCGAAAGTGACCCATGCCTTTCTTAGCACATGGAGTTTGAAACTGATTATGAGACCACTGGAGAAATCAAACGCAGGAGTAGAAAACATTTGTAGACTACCAGGTTCGAATGGGTATCAGTGCGGTGTAAAACGTGCTCTCCCTACGGAGCATAAATACCCAGAATTTCAAAGTAACTGTACTGTAAATTTAAGCAGCTCTTGATAGGCCTCCCATTCCCCGATCACCGAAATTGTACAACATGCCACTATATCTCACCACTCATCTATATCTCATCATCTAGTCGGGTACAAAATCCAAATCCACGTTTCCATGCTGCAAACGCGCTGAAACTCCAATATATGAGGGATATATCTGAGGACCTCGAGGTGCTCGTACTACTTGCAACACCAAAACAGACTATCAGTCTCAAACACCCCGGATTCCTCTTCCCCAAACCTTTGATAGAACGGTTGACACTGTAGTGGTTAACGGCCCTATGACAGTAGTGGGGCCCTATGGAGTCTCTAATGAACTGAACAAATTACTGATGTAAGCCAGATACAAAGTCACAAAGAGAAAAATACAAATAAAATAAAACTCACAGTTCAAAATAGGAGATTCCGTAGTTCCGTATTCCGTTGAACCACCACACCAAGAATAGTTCTATCTTCCTGGTATCCCAGATCTCCGGTGATCGAAATATTATTCCACAAGCGTGGATATATTAGTCCAGTGTTTGTAGCTGAAATGTTTGTTCACGTTCAGTGTTAGCAGCGGTCAAATATAGCCAACCGGCGGTCACAACAACAGTCACTCAGCAAAAGTCTCAAAGTCACGTTGGAGCCAACGCGCGGGCGGTAGCGGTTGTATTTTAGTAAAACAAACTTTTGTACAGCAATGTGACTGATA